CATTTTGAGCCTTTAGTGCCTCACGCCCAAGTAGATAAGACCCGCCATCCATTAGTATTATAATTAGAATGAGCCAACGAAGACGAAGAAGATTACCCCATTTCATTTTTTTAAAAATGCTGTGAATGAAGAACCTGCAGTTTTTTTTTTTTTTGATAAACCTGCAGTTTAGTATAGTAGTAAAATTTTACTCCGTAGTAATTAATTAGATAGACAATTTGTGCTTAATTAGCTTCTTTTGAATTGTTTATACATACTTTAGAGCGACGTGCTTTTGTGGATCGTCATCGTCATCATGGCATTCAAGCTGGCTCACATCATATAATTAACCTTTTTGAAAACGTGTTAGGGTCCTAGTTTCACACTCTACTTTACTACAAAAAAACGCGGAATTGGCACGACCTTTTGGCACGGACTGTAGTTTAAGTTTCCCGTGACTAAGGTATTATGCATGGATTTTGGCACGGACACGAAACGTTGCCAATTTCGAAGCTCCAAACCGTATGGCACGGAAATCCAGTACTATTTCAGTCTCTTGATAACTTTAATTTGTTTACTTGTTTTGGTTACATTTTGGTACAAAAGGAGTATTATGGAGTAATATTTAATCTCATTTTTTCTTTAAATTTTGACTTTATACTTAGGAGGTACAACTGACGTAGGTGGGGGATGAGTTTGGGTCGAGACTTAGTGAGAGGTTATTTAGGGTAGGGAGGGTAGAAATCATCAATTTTATGAACAGAGCTCCGTAGGGGGCAGTGGCTTTCGTGGCCACTGGAATCCAGTGGCCATATTCTAGTGGCCACGGAACCGGGCCGAAATCGGGTTATATTAAGTTAGACCTCAAAGATTCAAATATAAGAAATCAAATAGCACCAAGGTTCCCTGACCCGGGGGCGCTCCGGTGCCCCGTTCGTAAAATTAACGGTTCCTACCTTCTAACCCCCGATTAAACCCCCCCCACTCCGCCCCACCCCGAACACCCCCCCCGCCTCCTTCAATTGCACCCCACAAGTTGATTTTGACTCCAAAGTCAAGAATTAACTTGTGGGGTGCAATTGAAAGGGATGGAGGAGTGTGTTCGGAGCGGGGCAGAGTGGGGGGTTTACCAGAGGGTTAGGGGAGGAACTGTCAATTTTACGAACGGGGCACTGGAGCGCCCCGAGTCATGGGAACCCACCCATCAAATAGTCGGTATAAATTTAATAAGTTTAGATCATACTCCGTTTTGTCTAAAAAAAAAAAAGAGATCATACTCCGTAAATCTTTAAAAGATTGAGAAAATATATACCGAGACTAAATAGATAGTGCATTATTGTACTAAAATTGCTAGCAATAAAGAACAATTCAATACGGAGTAATTTATCATAGCATTGGAGATAAATTATAAAGTGGATACTTTTGTCTATCTCTACCTAAAAGATTGTAAATTTGTAACCATGTCAAACACACTCATATTTCTTGAATAAAGTGGATACTTTTGTTTATTGAAAAATACTCCCTCCGTCATATATCTTTCTTCCCGTTGCGCAAAACGAAGAAAAATCTCAAGTTTTTTTAATCTATTTTATTTTAATATTGGTATAGAAATAAAAAATAAAACATACCAAGTACATATTTAAAAACTACATCAAAAGTTCAACAAAACAAGTGGTGACAAAGAATATTTTATTTTATCATATAGGCCATGAAAAAACACAAATAAATACTAAATTCTCGTGAAGTTGGAATAGTGCTCTGAGAAGAAAGTTTTAGGACGGAGGGAGTATACCACATCTGTCGCTAAGTATTTATTCTTTTCGATCAACTATTTTCAAGTTTTGACTTATAATTAAATAAAATATATATTGTATTTTAATTAGATAAAATAATATTTTGAAAAATAATTGATATAATAATTCTAATAAAATTATTTTTGTATCAATATCTAATTTTATTTTTTTTGACTTGAGGTCAAATTAAGTTTATCAATTTTGACCAAAAAAATTAAAAGTAGACAAATACTCAAGGATGGAAAAATATTTGTTAAAAGCATCACTTTTTTTGTCAATGAAATTATTTTTTGAAAATCGACTTTCACAAAGCCATTTTTACTTAAATTTTTACAAACCCAACTTTCAAAATTTAAATTTTTTGGTTTTGTAAAAGCCGAAATTTTTAAAATTTTAAATTTTAAATTTTTTGGCTTTGTAAAAGCCGAAATTCTGACAGTTTTTTTAAAATTTCGAAAATTATAATTTTCCAGATTTTTATTCTCAGAATTCTTCCTCATATTTTGGCCTCCGAAATTTTTAATTTCACATTTTTAAATATTTTGGCCCACTATAAGATTTAAATCTTTTCATTTTAAATTTTTTTAAGTAATATAAAGTAGAGTTACATGACACAAGAATTTAAAATTTAAAAGAACAAAAATATTTTAAGTAAAAGAAAGTAGAATCCATTACATGACCCAAAAATAAAATATTACAAATTATAAAAATCCATGATTACAATAAAATTAATTAAATCCACGATCGAACCAATAATCCATCACCGGCTTGTTATCATAGTCATGCGGCATTAACGAGGATGTGAAGTTATCATCACCCAAACCGTGTGTGTCAAATTGTGTAGCACCAAAAAGATCTTCTTGGATACATTTTCCGGGTTGAGTATTAACAGTTTGGGGGAATATGGACTAGTCGTCAGCATCAAACTGAGCTTCGTCTCCGTCCATTTCTTCATCTTCTTCTTCTTCAACAAACTCATCTTCATTGCGGTCAACATTTTCTAATGCACCCCTTAGGTTGTCTCGAACCTCTAGAGCAACTGCTCCGGGAACTTTACCGAGTCGACGCTCCGCTTTCTTTATTCTATTTACCTGTGAAAAAAAATCAGTTAGTGAATTATTTATTTTATTATAAGTAAATATTTATAATTTCTAAATTACCAAGAAGGCAAGTTTAGCAGAAGTATTTTCTGATCCCTCTAAAGGTCGATGATCATGAATGGTTTGCAACCTGTATATTGTATACTTTAATTAGTCAATGCATGATATATTTTTAACAATTTATTTTAAGAATATTAATCTTACGAACATCCGAACCGATTAAACCTGAAACCGATTAGATCCGAACTCGATAATAGCCGAAATCGATAAAATCCGAAATCGATTAGATATGAAACCGATAATATCCGAACCTGACTAGAACTTAAATCGATAAATTCAGAACTATGTTTGTCTTTCAATAAGCATATTATATTTTTAATTTTTTACTTTTATTTTACCATTTGAACTGATTACATTACTTGCTCATTCTCTCATAAAATGGATTCTCTTCTTGAAAAAAGTACAAAATTTTATGCCTTAACTTTATTATATGTAGAAATTAAAGATAAGTTATACGTGTAAATGATAACGCACAAACAAATAAAATTTTCGTAATTTTTAAACAGTGAAATGTGATATTCTTTTTGGGACAAAAGGAATATATATTGAATTGTATGGAATAACTAGATTTTATCCTAATTTTATCTCATTACAATAAATTTTATTAATTTGAGAGTCAATTTAATTAGTTTCAAATCAATTCACTCAATATTAGTCAATAAAATTAGATGCTAGTGTTAGCATTTTGAAGAGACTCTCTAGCGGCAGCCTTTACTGTTATCATTTTCAAATTTGATCTACACCATTACATTTAGGTGTAAAATTAATTATATTTGACTCCATTAAATTTAATTTTCTCTACTTTCAACCAAATATACTCAATAATTTACAAATGTTGCATTCAATTGAATAAAATTTACTTAATTTCACCCAATTTTACTCAATTTTTACAAAATTGTATTCAAATGGGACATAAGACTATAAGGACTATTTGAATTTATCTTTTGTCCTTTGATTTATATACATAAGTATATTAGTAGATATGAGAAAGATTTGATATTTCAAACCTAAATTTTAAAATCAATTAAATATATACTCCGTATGTTTTCATAATTTATAGTCCAAATTTGTAAAATATGACTAAAAATATATATGTATGCATTACATATTGTAAAATTAAAAAAATAATGTATTACACATTGTAAAATTAAAAAACAAATATGTATTACATATTTAAAAAACTTATAAAGAATTATTCTAAAAAAACATAACTCAACTTCTTAGATGATTATGGAAGAATAGATAAATTTTGAATATTTAGTGAGAAAAGAAGAGAGAAAATATGAGATGTAGTTGAAAAGATTATGTAATTTGTGTAAAAAGAAAAAAAAGATTTGATTATTTGTAGTTGAAGGGATTAGGTGTAGAAATAGGAACTGATTGGACTGTGAAAGTGAGAAAAAGAGGGAAGGGAATTTGATAGATATAGTTAATTAGAATATTTTAATTAGTCATATTATTATCTAGAAGTTATTTATTATTATTATTATTATTATTATTATTATTATTATTATTTATTGATGTCTTAGGGTCAATTAGGGTTTTCTACGTCTTTATATATTGTAAACTTTCGTTATTATTATTCAATCAATCAATAATCAAGAATTCTTTTAATCTCTCGTTTCTCTTTTCTTGGAGCCCGGAAACGCTCGAAGTTTTCCATCTTTCTCTACCTCTTCTTCTTGGAGCTTGAAGAACGCTCGAAGTTCATCCCTATCCGATACAATATTCGTATCAATTGGTGCTTTCATTGTTGAACTACCCTTAAAAAAAACCAAAAAAAAAAACATTGTCACCACCGCTGAAGAGAAACAAATTTCCACGAGATTTGCAGCCGCTATTGAATCAAGATCGAAGAAGGAAGTACCGACCCAATTTCCAGCCGCACAATTTCATACCCTGTCATTAACAAAGAATCCGTCTTAATTTCCAGAGCCGGTTTAACCTGCTTCGCTGCCACACAAAAATCCAACGTCAATCTCTTTGATTGTTGTCCCACGGCTGATCCACCACCAATCCAAATTTCATTAACTTGAAATCCACTAAAAAAGGGTGAATTCCTCTATCCACTGATCCCTTTGAGCCTGCCAACAAAAAATCGAAAGGTTTATGCCGCCGCTGCAATATTGTTTTTGACGCCGACCAGATTCATATTTTGTCAAATGGAGCAGGGCTTTTTCTTCCGAATTGAATGGAGGCACGATTCAAGCGGTTAGAGGCTTTGATCATTTGTACCGGTGCATTGGACAAACTTATTGAGTTGTTGGAGAATGTTCTTTACGGTGAAATTGAGCACGATGAAGGAGTGTGCACACTTTACATTCAAATAGATGAAATTATAAAGAATCTTCAATCCTTCCGTTCTATTGGAGGTAAGCCAAATTATGATTCTGACTTACACGCATTTGACATTGAAATCTTTTGCGCAATACAAGATTTGGTCCGTGGGCCTCCAATTTTACCGAGTTTGATTCCTTGGGAGTTACAACACTTTAGAACAAACATGTTGGGCGCTATGAAAATTATCATTGACACTTCGCCATATGCGCCAAATGTGGTCTCTACAGTAATGGAGCAAAACGACCATGCATCCAAGGAGGGATCAAGCGTTGACTCACACGTTGGAGATGAAGTGGAAATCGGACCTGAAGCAATAAACAAAGATGACGGGAGGTTCAACGTTGTGGACAGAAATGAAGGTCCTCTTGCAGAAGATGGTGCTAATGTCGACAAGCCAGATTCTACTTTTCAGAAATTTTCTATCTCAGATTGTGAGGTCATTGCAGAATATGATATTCTAAAAAGTGTTGACAAAGTGACAGATGCAGATGGTAAACAAGCACACTCACCTATGTTGATTGACACCACCAAGTTGTTTGAGCTTGTCGATGTGGTCAAGACGGAGCACCTGGTTTCACCAAGAGCAACTACATATGTTCTGCCCCTTGTCTCATCTTTCCATCACTTTGCTCCAAGATCCAAGATGGTGGAAGATTCAAAGAGTGAATTGCTCCTTTGGTTCAGCACTCTTTCTCCAGTCCTAAAGCACGAGTAGGAGCCTCCACCTTGAGGACAAGGTGGAATTTTAAGGGGGTGGGAATGATACGGATGGTAGATTAGTTATATTATTTATTAATTAGTAGTCATTTAATATTCAATAGTTAATCTTGTTTAGGGTTTAGTATGGGCACGAGCCCATTAGGTTAATTAGGGTGTTCCCCCATCCCCTCGTCTCTATATATTGTAATCTTTTTCCCGTTGTTATGAAATCAATCAATAATAAAGAATTCTCTTAATCTCTTATCTCTCTCTTCTTGGAGCCCGGAAACGCTCGAAGTTTTCCTTCTCTCTTTGCCTCCCCTTTCTTGGAACCCGAAGACGCTCGAAGTTCTTCCCTATCCCGGTACGAATCCTACAAGATTCGTATCAATTATGATACGGATGGTAGATTAGTTATATTATTTATTAATTAGTAGTCATTTAATATTCAATAGTTAATCTTGTTTAGGGTTTAGTATGGGCCCGAGGACATTAGGTTAATTAGGGTGTTCCCCCATCCCTCGTCTCTATATATTGTAATCCTTTTCCCGTTGTTATGAAATCAATCAATAATAAAGAATTCTCTTAATCTCTTATCTCTCTGTTCTTGGAGCCCGGAAACGCTCGAAGTTTTCCTTCTCTCTTTGCCTCCCCTTTCTTGGAGCCCGAAGACGCTCGAAGTTCTTCCCTATCCCGGTACGAATCCTACAAGATTCGTATCAATTGGTGCTTTCATTGAGAGACTCACCACAAAAAAATAAAAAAAAACCCTTTTTTTTCCAAAAGCAAATCAGCATGACCTTCATAGAAAATGGGCTCAAGTTTGTGAATTTGCTCTTTCCATCAAATTAGGTACAGCCGCTGATCAGCCAATTGGTTGTTGCTGCCAATTAGGTTTATCGCCGCAAGAGGAAATTGCAGATTCAAACCCTCCAGATTGTTCCGAGAAGATTTACCCCAGATTTGAAGGGAAAAAAAAAGAGCAGCACAGCACCACTTGTCCTGCGGTCAGATCAATTTGCGCCACACGTTCAAGGAAAAAAATGCAACAAGATTTTTCATTCCGGATGGAGGCGCGATTCGCTCGGCTAGAGACTTTAATTGTGAGTACTTGTGCATTGGATAAACTTATTGATTTGTTGGAAAATGTTTTATATGGAGAAATTGATCTAGACGACGGAGTGTGTGGAGTTTATGATCATGTGGATGAACTTATAAAGACGCTCCAGTCGTTTCGTCATACTACTAGCCAACCAAATTATGACTCCGACTTGTACGCATTTGATGTCGAAATCTCTTGCTCCATACAAGATTTGGTTCGTGGTCCCCCAATTTTGCCGAGTTTGATTCCATGGGAGTTACAAAACTTTAGAACAAACATGTTGGGCGCTATAAAAATTCTCATTGACACTCCGCCATATGCGCCAAATGTTGTCTCTACAGTAATTGAACAAAACGCTGAAGCAATAAACAAAGATGACGGGAGGTCCAACGTTGTGGACAAAACTGAAGGTCCTCTTGCAGCAGATGTTGCTAATATCGACAAGTCATATCCTACTTTTTAGGAATTTTCTACCTCAGCTGGTGTGGTCATTGCAGCATATGATATTCTAAAAAGTGTTGACAAAGTGACAGCTGCAGATGGTAAACAAGCACACTCACCTATGTTGATTGATACCATCAAATTGTTTGAGCTTGTCGATGCGGTCCAGACGGAGCACCTGATTTCACCGAGAGCAACTACATATGTTATGCGCCCCGTTTCATCATTCCATCACTTTGCTCCAAGATCCACGATGATTGAAGATTCAAAGAGTGAACTGCTCCTTTGGTTCAGCATTCTGTCTCCGGTCTTAAAGTACGAGTGAGAGCCTCCACCTTGAGGACAAGGTGGATTTTAAGGGGGTGGGAATGATAGATATAGTTAATTAGAATATTTTAATTAGTTATATTATTATCTAGAAGTTATTTATTATTATTATTATTATTATTATTATTATTATTATTTATTGATGTCTTAGGGTTTTAGTATGGCCCGAGCCCATTAGGTCAATTAGGGTTTTCTACGTCTTTATATATTGTAACCTTTCGTTATTATTATTCAATCAATCAATAATCAAGAATTCTTTTAATCTCTCGTCTCTCTTTTCTTGGAGCCCGGAAACTTGAAGTTTTCCATCTTTCTCTACCTCTTCTTCTAGGAGCTTGAAGAACGCTCGAAGTTCTTCTCTATCCGATACAATATTCGTATCAGAATCACTGTGCACAAGTACTTTAGCTAAGCACTGTGCGGAACTGTAGATGTGTATTGTTGCTCCATTATTATACTGAAATTAAAAGAAAACGGCTTTATGAAAGCCGAAAATCAAAAAAAAATTTTAAAAAAATTGGCTTGTCTAAAGCCGATTTTCCTTGTCAGGAATTACCCTTTCCCACTTGGGAATTATATTCAAAATATTTTCCCTTTTAGGGAAAGCACCCCAATTAAACACTAAGTCACGCGGGCTATAGACAAAAACTAAGGCTCGCATGCCGAGAAATCAATAACCAGGGCCCCAATAGACAAAGACCACCGTTCGCAGACCCAGAAAATTCCAAATTTCAAGAGACAAAAACTAGGGATGGCAACGGGTCGAATTCGAGTCAGATAGTACTATACCCGAAATTGATCCGAGTTTTAAAATTGAAACTCGAACCCGACCTGGAATCCGACTTTTAAACAAAACTCAACCTGACCCGAACTCAAATTTAAACGTGAAACTCGAACCTGAAACCGTAATTAACCAATAATAACCAATTTGACGTAGCCCAAGAATTTTAAAAAAAAATCCAAATTCTCTTGTGTCTGTTTTTTGTATCTCATTTTTTATTGAGAAGTTAAAAATAATTATCAAAGACATACTTGGTATAGTAGCACCTTGTCGAGACGATTGCGTGGCTAGAAATGCAAACAAGACAATAGGCATATCAGAGATGCAAGGAAGGAAGAATCATACAAGAAGAATGAAAAAACACAATGCGATGTAAGGACCAAGAGAGAAATGTGGTTGTGCCAGAAAATCGAAAAAAGAGAGATTATACAGAGTGCTTATTATATCCGTGGATAGGATTTTAGGTTATAAAACATTCAGGTTCGGGTTCGGATCGGAAAAAATTATAAACCCACACCCAACCCGAACTAATATCGGGTTCGGGTAAAAAATTTTGGGTCGTATTTGGATTATTTTATTCTTGATTCGGGTTCAGATATTTTAGTGTTCAGTCGGGTCGGTTAAGATCAAGTTTGTGTTGAATTGCCATCCCTAACAAAAACAAAAGCATGCAGATCATAGGGCAAACCTAAATCTAGAGAGTTATCGTTTACCCTAACATTTTTTAGTAGTCAATCATTTTAACTTGTCTTTCACCCCATCTCATTCACCATACAACTAGCCAAACAAGGGGTATCCCATGTTTGACAAAATATTTGAGTATATATATATTGGAGTTTTGAAAGAATTGTAATTGGGATAAATTCTCTTATATTTTTTTATCTTTACAATATGAACAAAGGTCGTATATATAGGATCCCACATGTTAGGAATTCTATATGAAAACAAGATACAAAAGGAAAGCAATCAATATAAATGAGAAACTACCAAAATAATATATACAAAAATATACGGGAATATATTCCTTCCTTTTTTTACACCCTCCTTCAAGTTGGAGCATGCAAAAGTGAAATGCCCAACTTGAGAATAAGAAACTCCATATGAGCTTTTCCCAATGCCTTAGTATGAATATCTACAAGCTGATGCAAAGTTGGCACATGATGCATACGAATCACTCCGCAAATTAAAGAAGCTCATCCAGAACAAATTGACAATCGATCTCAATATACTTCGTATGCTCGTGAAAAACTAGATTGGTAGCAATATGAAGTACCACAGTGCTGTCACGATGAATGATCATAGGACGATCATGCAAGACTCTTAGGCATCACAAAAGATCTTTCAACCACTTCAACTCACAAGTAACAACAGCAAGGGCCCAATATATTAAGCTTTGGCACACGACTGAGCAACTGTCGTTTGCTTCTTCGTTTTCCAAGAGACGGGCGGGTTTCTAAATTGAACGAACTATCCAGTCAAAGATTGTCTCATCAGTGGACATGCAGCCTAATCTGAATCACACCCACCTGTAAGCTGGAGACAATTATCTTAGAGAGAAGAATTCCATATCCCGGACTCCCCTTCAAGTACCAAACAACACCAAGAGTAGCAGTCCACTGATCCTCTCTAGGTTCCTTAAAAAATTGTGCGTATGCACAACGTAGGAGAGCTCCGGTCGAGTAACTGATAGATAAACCAGACGCCCTACCAGACATTGATAAGTATCTAGATCCGCCACAGGTAGAGTTTGGGAATGAGCCAAGTGATGATTTGGCGCCCTCGGTTGGCCCAACGGCCTGGCACCTAACAAAACGACCTTAGTGATAATATCTAATGCATATTTCCATTGGAAAAGGAAAATCATGGACGCACTTCTAGCCACCTCAATGCTAAGGAGGAACTTCAAAGTTCCCAAGTCCTTCATATGGAAGCAATCAACCAAATACACTTTGAATTTAGCTAACATATCCGCATTATCTCCGGAAATGATGAGATCGTCAACATAAATCAAAACATGTATTACTCTCTTCGTCCCAACAAAGGAAAACAAGGAGTAACCGGAGATGGACTGAACAAACTCATAGCGTCTCAAAGCTCTAAACAATTTTTCAAACCAACATCGGGGTGCTTGCTTCAATCCATACAGGCATACAGCGACTTCTTGAGTTTGCACACCACATTAGAAGAATTTGAAAACTTGGTGGCAACCTAATATAAACCTCATGAGGTTACAAGAGAAAATTCCATAACGGCACACATGATTAATGATCCGTCAACCGTTTATGATTTTCATCCGCTCAAATTTAATTAGATCATATCTAATCAGATCAGACCTACTATATTCATTCTAGTACATTTATCCACTTTGACTTTTTTTAAGTCAAATAGGATAAGTTTTGAGCTTCAGTTACTCTCAATTTGTATATCATATTGGTATAACGAAGTAATATCACGAATGTTATTAACAAGATAAATCTAATGAAATCATTTTTATTCAAATATATATTAAACTTTTTGTTTAAATAAAGTTTAAAATTTATTTTGTTTGACTGAAAAAACTTAAATTAGACAAATATAATCCAATTTGGAGACTTAACCTTAAATATACAAGAATTTAGCATCACACTAGAAAAGTCATAGTGCTCCATCTTTATGTGAGCGGCAAACGCCCATATAGTACCAAATTTTTATACCACGTGATTACAATGTCTATGCTCACAGAATATTACGGAGTATATCTTGTTAAAAATTTTAGACAATTATCATCACTTGATATCAAATTTTGTCTAACAACGTAAACAATTATCATCATTTGATGTCAAATTTTGTTTAACGTACAACGTAATTATATTGGGTTTTGGGGAGGTTTGTTTGTCGGCTTCATCCAAAGTCTTTAAACCTTAGTTTTTCTTATGAGTAGACACTAGACACCTTGTACTTGCAATCTTTAAAACCTCACAAGTGCATTGTGAGGTTTTGTTCCTTACAACGGCTTGAATATAATCAGATCAGATCAGACCAAATTAGATCACATCTAATCAGATCTAACAAGACCATATCAGAAACAACTTTAACTATAACTGTAATCCGATCAGATCAGGCAAGATCAGACCAAATCAGATCTTCAAAAATTAGATGGATCAGCTCAGGTGAATGAAATGCGGCTTTAATAGAGAAAGTGATTGGAATAAAAGTGACTTTTTAATAAAAAGAAAATTTTTTTTAGACAGATGAAAAGTGAAAGAAGAATTTTTTTTGTTGATAGGTGGGATATGAATTTAGTGAAATTTGCACTAAATAGGACAAAAACATAATGACTTTCCTAATGTAGGACTTAAACTTTTTTATTCTCTAAATAAGACGTAATAATGACCTAGTGGAAATAATAATGTCCAATAATGATGCACATTTAGTTGAATAATGACTTCGTGATAATGACCAAAGGTCCTACATTAGGAAATAAAAACATATGATCATATATTAGAAAAGTCATTATGTTTTAGTCCTATTTAGATAAATTGCTCATGAATTCAATATCACTATGTTCGTTTTAAAATATTCCTTATACTTCTAAAACACTACATTGTTAGTGAGTATAATATATAGTGTTAAATTTAAGATAATGAAAAACTAATTAAAGAAAAATAATAGAAGGGTAGAGCTTAATTTCCAAAAAATTACTTGCGAATATCCTCAATTTTTTGGTAATAACTTTCAGATCCTACATTATCTGAAATAAACTTTGGAGTACCCTCGTTTTTTTGGTTTGAACTCTCAGATCCTACATTATCCAAAATATAATATGGATTCCTTAAAATTTGTTTTATTATACTCTCAGGGTACATTCTCTTAATTTAGGTGTTAGATTAAAAATTCTTTTACTTTGGTGAATTGAAGAAATTAATTTAAATTTAATAAAATACGAAGTATGGATTATCATTGTAAACTTTAGTACTCCGTCCCGTTCTAAAAACATTTCCTATTTTGACTTTTTTTAGTCAAACAGTGACACCCTTTGACTATAAATTGTGAGAAAAATATATTTAATTATAATAATATAATATACATTCAATACAATAGGGTTTATCTTAGGATATACTTCACAATTTATATATATATATATATTTGGTCAAAGATTATCATTATTTGATAAAAGAAAATCAAAATAAAAAAGATTTTTAAGACCGAAGAGAATATTTGTCAAAGTAACAGAATTTTCAATCATAACGGTCAAATAGACGAAATTTACTCTAGTACATTACCACAAATTTTAAAGATTTTAGAACATCTCCAACCATCTTGCTTTGGCTTGTTAAAAGCCATAATATAGCAAGTCAACCCATTTTTCTCTTCTCCAATGAGTGTGTTAAACTTTAGCAAGCTTATCAAAATCTAACTTTGGTTTGTTAAATATAACAAGTTCTTCAAATTATAGGAAACCAAGAGTTGTAAAATTGATTAACAAGTCATGGTTGGAGAATAAATCAAAATATCATTTGTTATATCACTATTCACTAGTTAAAATATAAAAATATCAAGTCAATATAGTAAAAGGGAGAAAGACTAAAGTAGGACTAAAACTTCTAAAATATACCAAAATAGGACTTCCATGTTTTTATTCCCGAAATAGGACTTACATTACAAACCATGGTCATATACATTACCAGAAAACATAGAAATTTGCACATGTACACTGCCACATTACCACAATGCAAGGTCACATTACCACAGTGCAAAGTCTTATGAGAAAATTAAATGTACCACGAGTAATTTTCTGCTAATTTTGTAATGATAATTAAATGGCAAAATTAGTGTTTAGAGGAGGATGACAGTGCTTATGCTGCCGCTGGAAATGATAATGATAAAACAAATAATGCTCAGGCCGACCCAAGTCTCTCGGCGAGCTGAGCCACCTGTTCCGACGAGCAGATGCAGTAGCCTTCCGAGTAAAGGAACCTCTGGACGGCCGGAGAGTTCACCGCCGCTTCCAATAGCTCTCGGCCGCTGAGCTCCGCGAGCGGCCCGGGAACGCCGGGGCTAGGGTTTTCCTGATGATGAGAGGGAAGATCGCCGCGAACCGGCATGCTCTCCAGGACGGTGGCCTGCGCCTGGAGGAATTTGACGTACTTGTACGCCTCCCCCAGCATCTTCGCCGTGTCCATCTTCGTCTCCCACGGCATCAGCTCCTGCAGATCCCGGATCTTCTCCCTCCATTTCCTCCTCCGCTCTCTGGCCAGTTCGCTGGATCTACTCGCCTTCTTCGTCTTCAACCTCGCCGCCATGGATTTCTCGCACGGACGAAAAGGATAGGCTGCCTTCAGGTGGTTTCCGGTCATCTCGTTTTGGAAAATGCAGCGGCGAGGCCGGGATCCGAAATGACTATTCACCGGGACCGGCGGTTTATTACCCAGAAATCGGAGATCCGGCAAGTGACGGAATCCGAAATCCCCTGCTTTGTATCCGAAGTAACGGTTCTCCCGCTTGGGACTTTTCACCGCCATGTTTAAACCGCCTCCATATGGATTCATCCCCGCAGACGCCGCCGGTACAGCTTTACACGACCGCAATGGCATAATCTCCGGAAAAAGCAACGGCGGAAGACTTTCCTCTGACCGGAGATCCGGCGGGAGACGGGAGCCGAAATCTCCGGCCGAAACGGCGCATCCGTTGTTGGAACCATATGAACTGTTCTCCTGCTTCGGACCCTTCACCTCCGAGACTACACCGCTTCCACATAGATTTGTCACCGAAGACGCCGCATTAGAAGACCAGAAGGGCAGAAACTCCGGGAAAAGCAACGACTGAAGACTTCCCGGTAACCGGAGATCCGGCGTGTGACGGAAGCAGATATCCCTGTCAGAAATATAGTTGTCGTTTCTGTATCCATAGGAACCGTTCTCCTGCTTCGACCATTTCACTCTCATCTCAATGTCTCCACCGCCGCCATGGAGATTTATCACCGAAGGCGACCGGAAAGCCTGAATCTCCGGGAAAGGCAACCGCGGAAGAGAAACATCATCGGGACGAAGACAAACCGCCTGATGATGAGGTAGTAACTTCAACAGAGGCCTCTGTTCCTCGCAGTCGAGGCTCAAACTCAACAAATCTCTGAAGCTCACCGGCCGATCGTCTGTTCCGTCGATGTCGTCCATCGGCGCAAAAAAGGGGAGTTAAACGCCGCGTCCGCCGCCGTGGAAAGCCGATTGGCCCAATTGAATCTGCTCAAATTCCCTCTGTCAGGCAATCTGCATAATATGTACGCACAGAACGGAATAATAGACGAACGGTTTTTGGCGGTGGCCATTCCGGTTTCAGGCGACTGACGGTTTTGTCTGTACGGCGGAGAGAGGGGAGGCTTCCAGGTGTGTACGGAGATTTTTTGGAGGTTTTTGAAAATTGGAATGGGGTAGTTTGAGCCGTTGGATTAGAGGGGACGTGTCGCATCGGACGGATAGAGATAATCTTCTGACGTCTGGTTGGCGCGGCGTGGGTTCAGACAAGGACAAAAGTTTTAGGGGCGAAATGTGAGGGCATAACCGGTAATTCATTGGTTTTGGAGTGATAAGAGATTAGCACGTGGCAATACTCACTTCTCAAAATGAGTGGATGATCTCGAGTAGCTACGATGCCCTTTTCGTAAAATCAAGGATTTTTATTCCTTCTAACTCCGATAAACCTTCATCCCACTCTAACCACAACACACATCTCATCCCTTTCAATTGCATCCTCAAGTTAATTTAAGTAAAAAATAACTTGGGATGTAATTAAAAGGGCGGGGGGTTTACCAAATGAGTTAGAAGATATAAACCCTCAATTTTACAAACAAGATACTGTACTGGCCCCGAGTTCTCCCATGACATAGAGTTCCAATGTCATTGGAACATGACTAGATTCTAATGTCATGGGAACCCTTGCGTGCTCAAAATAACATCTTATTAATAAAAAACAATGCAGGATGGCCCTTCCAAACGAGTCAGACAGACACCGGAGAAAAGATTAATAGGGTTCTAATCACATATTGACTATAAATATTAGAGTCTGCACTTAGAAGTTAGAACTTACAAAGGTCTTATGTAGACCTGACAAAGAGTGACCCGACCTATTTTTGACCCGAAGTGACCCGACCTATTTTTCATATGTGAATTTTTTCAAAATTCTACATAGATATGAAGTGGGGGATCGGAGTTGAGATCATCCTCATTCGAAATTACTAGCATGAACATGAGTGGCTAATAGAGGGACACACAACATTAAGGTGCCCCTGAATGCACAACTGGAATAAAATTATAATTATTATAACAGAGACCTAAATTGGAAAAAAGTTAATTCGAAAAGGTCATTTTGAAAAATTACTCTACATTTAAATATTAAAAATATCTAAATTTCCTCCACTAAATATCCATTTAACAAACATATACGGAAGACACTAAGTGAATAAATCTCAACTATAAAGTATTACATAGATAATTAATGCTTAATAACATTGATTTTGGAAAAATACCTTATTTGAAAAAACTATTTTGAGATTACTCAAAAAAATTTATAATTTATAATACGATGACTAAAAGACTTAAGACTATATTTTCTAAGATAATATACATGTCATGATTATGTACTTTACTTGACTCAATTCATATCTTACCTAGAATTTTTGTTTATGGTAAGATGACTAATTATGATATGAAATAACAGTATTTCCATACAATTTGACTATTTTTAAAATATTGAATATTTAAAATAAACAAATTAGAAAAAAGATTTAATGAGACTTTTATGCTATATCTTGGTAACTTGGTTTACTATTTTAATCAAAATAATCTTATACTATAACTTACGATTTACTCAGTACAAACTTATATTGTGTTACAATTCAAAATCTTTATACATAAAATTAAGAAATTTTGAATGAGAGAAGACTTACTCCCTACGTTTTCATTTACACAATCATACTCGAAAACTTCATGAGATGATATTTTATGAGACGACACGAATTTATGCAAAGAAGATTGTGGCAAAGAAGATCAAAGTGTGGAGGAGAGCGTGAGAAGATTTGTGACATGCAAATTTAGGATAATCAAAAAAGTAAGAAAAACTGTGCATAAAATCCAAGGTGCAATAGCTAAAAAGTTTGAGACTCGGTTACAGGTTACAACCACATCAAAGAAAATACAATTTCCAATTTGTAACTATTTGTATTTTGATAGAACATTTTATATCTTGACCAGAATACTATCCTGACAAAATCATTGGAGCACTAACATTTTAATATTTTTTAAAATCAATGTGGGGGAGAAGAATATTTGGTTCTTAATATTTTAATATTAAAAATTTTAATGATAGAGATTTATGATCAGTAATTTAAGATTTTATTTTTTAATAATGCTCCTGGGTACCCCATATTTTTTAAGATTAGCAAAGCAATTCAATTTATAAACGGTGGGGTTCTAGTGACACCGGAGTACGGTGCCACTAGCGGTGCCACTGGTATTTTGGAGCACCGGAGGTGCCCCAAAATACCAGTGGCACCGGAGTGGCACCGTACTCCAGTGTCACTACAACCCCACCGATTTATAAAAATACAAATTAGTTCACTTGTAGAAAAGTGAGAAAATTTACATTTCACCTCCTAAGAAATAAGAACCGTCTCACCCGAACGAGAAACAGAGAACAGCGAGCTAGGGTTTCGCCGGCTAGTCTTCACACACGCACGAAGGAGATCGTGGGCAACAAGTTCGTTCGAGTCAATTGGGACGGTTCTACGAAGGTAACGAGCTCTAAACTTAGATATTTGTCTATAATGCTAAGATCTTTCTTGTTTAGTTCATTATCTCAGAGTATTTGTTGAATCTGAGCTTGGTTGCTTTCGATTTTGCCTATCTCTGCTCGAAATCTCAATTATAGTCGCAATTGACTTCGTTTATTCTGTTATGAAAGACAGGACGAGTTTTCTCGCCCCTCTTCACCACAATCTGAACAAAACCTAAGCTTATTGATATTTCTTGATTATGTATGCATATGTAAAGATTATGAGGAAACCGATATGATTTGGACTGTGTATAATTTGGTAAGTGAAATTCGTTGGGTCACTTTTTAAATGCCAGGATTGAAATTTGAGTGAAAACTGAAGTGGACGAGCAGAAAAGATGTCTAGAAAAGGTTTGATGGAGCAGGATTTAAGTAAGTTGGATGTAACTCAACTTCATCCACTATCACCTGAAGTGATCTCTCGTCAGGCCACAATTAACATTGGTAAGTTCATTGCAGTGTAAACTCCGTGTATCTTTTTTGCATGCGGTCAAGCTTTTGCGGTCATGAGTCATTCGATATTAAGTTTTATTATCCTCTTTTAGGTACAATCGGCCACGTGGCTCATGGGAAGTCAACTGTTGTAAAAGCTATATCTGGTGTCCAGGTTTGCTGCAATATACAACTTTCAATCCGTTGAGTGCTTGAATTTGTGTGTACATGCTTTACACTCGTGCTCTTAGGAAGTGAGGAACCTTTATTTTATATTTCATCACTTGGTTACAAGTTACAACTAAGCAATCAAGCTTAGCTTGTTAGTGACATTTGAACTTACACTGTTCATCATCATCTCCACTTCAACACCTTTTTTCACTACTAAATGTGAATGGTGGCATAAAACTTATAATTTAAATTGTTACATCCTTCGTCTGACTATTTTTTGTTATCTTTTATCCATTTTTGGTTTAACCCAAAATTGTCCCACACAATATCAACCTCACAATATCACTTTTTCTCAAGTGACAAAGTTTTACACTAGATGTTCATCTTGTTGCAATCTGCTGAGGAATAATGAAATGAATATCGGAAACCATCATCATCATAGATTATTTTCAGTTGCACGAGATGTATTATGAGACAATGGTGGTTGGTATAATTTCAAATACAAGTTTCATATTGTAAATCAACAGGAAACTCCTGGAACATGATTGATTTCTTGACATTTTATCTCATTGGACAATCATGTAATGGGCCTAATTGCTGAGCACATTTCATATTATGCATTCTTTTTGCAGACTGTTCGCTTTAAAAATGAACTTGAACGTAATATCACAATTAAGCTTGGATATGCCAATGCAAAGATATATGAATGTGAAGATGAACGCTGCCCTAGACCTATGCGCTACAAGTAAGTTTCTTCATCAAAGTAGAGTTCCTTCACGTCACTAGCTTCCCTCTTACCAACAAACTCATTGTGTAGGGCATATGGAAGTGGAAAAGAAGACAGTCCTATGTGTGATGTGCCTGGATTTGAGAACTGCAGGATGAAGCTGCTAAGGCATGTGTCATTTGTTGATTGCCCTGTAAGCTTCTAACCATCCCATGTGTGAATTTTTATAATTGAATTTTCATTAGTACGGAGTATTCATCAAATGCTGCCACATTATTTATGTATTTGAACCACACAACGGATCCACTGGAATTTCTTAAGTAATTGTCATCAACCACTGTGTTAATGTAAGTCATTTTTCTTCATTACCAATGACATCTGTCCAAAATAAGAGTCCAGTAATCTTTCCATCAAATACCATGGACAGTCTTCAATATATTTTCCTATTCTTGGAATTGAGTAGTGCCAATATTTCATCCAGCATTTTTCCCTAGAAGATATAACATGAAGATCTTTCCTCCTTAATTGCAGGGCCATGATATTCTTATGGCTACTATGCTTAACGGAGCAGCAATTATGGATGGAGCATTACTTCTAATTGCTGCCAATGAGAGCTGTCCACAACCTCAGACTTCTGAGCATTTAGCAGCTATTGAAATTATGCGCCTCCAGAATATAATCATTCTTCAGAACAAGGTTGATCTAGTGCAAGAGAATGTTGCCATTAACCAGCACGAGGCCATTCAAAAGTTCATCCAGGTAAGTGGTTTTAAATGACGTCTGTTATAAATTCATGCAAGGGATCATTGATCAAAGAGTTTCACACTGTGCTAAACTGCTAATATTATATTCAGGGCACAGTTGCTGATGGTGCTCCAGTAGTTCCTATATCTGCTCAATTGAAATACAACATTGATGCTGTCTGTGAATACCTTGTGAAGAAAATCCCCATTCCAGAACGAAACTTCATTTCACCTCCAAATATGATTGTTATCCGCTCTTTTGATGTTAATAAGCCTGGTTCCGAAGTTGATGAGATCAGAGGTGGTGTAGCCGGAGGCAGTATATTGAAGGTATAGGAGAAGAGTAGGGGAAAGAGAAATAGGAAGAAAAGTATAGGAGAATTTTGAAAGGAAAGAAATTATGAGGGAAAATAAAGCGCATGTTCAAAATTAATTTTGTAACACATGTCTAAATCATTCAATTTATCCATTCATATCTTGTAGGAACTAAAAATCTTTACCTGATTTTTTTGAAAACATTAATCATCTTTCACCGTTTTTTTTGTGGTAAAACCAAACTCCAATAAGTAATGTATCATTCTTTTTCCTAATATTTTATGGGATAGAATTGGGTAATGTGAATTACAATAAGTAATAATTTATTGGAATTCTTTTTCCAATAAGTAATGTATCATGCACAAGATGTAGAATTGATGGAGCACGTGTCTTTGGATGTGCTTTGCATTAATTTGCTATTTGGCCATCTCATTGTAGTTACCTATAGCCATAGCTTATTTACAGTCGGGTTGAATTATTTTGAGAATTTTACTGGATAAGAGATGTAAAAGACATTCGATTGAGTTTGCAGGGCGTCTTGAGGGTTAATCAGAGAATTGAGGTTCGCCCCGGTATTGTTGTCAAGGATGAGAATGGGAACATCAAATGCACCCCCATATATTCCAGGATAGTTTCTTTGTATGCTGATCAGAATGAACTCCAGTTTGCTGTGCCTGGAGGCTTGATTGGGGTTGGAACCACCATGGACCCAACATTGACACGTGCCGATCGGCTGGTGGGACAAGTTCTTGGTGAGGTTGGGTCCCTCCCAGAAATCTTTTGCGAGCTAGAGGTGAGTGAAATTTGTAGTTCCATACTTCCGTGTGATGCATTTCCTGTTTCCCCTGTTTACTAACTGTATTTTAATGTTTTTCATGGAGCAAAGTAATTTTTACTTAAAATCACAAATGAAATTTTCAAGGAAAAATGCGAGAAAGTTGAACATTTGTTCAATTTCCATAATTTTCCTTGTTCCGGTTCAATTTCACTTTGTTTTTCTATTTGTCATATAATTAAGGTGGTAGGTGGTTTCCAGTTTTCAGGTTTTGTTATGATAAATTTGAAGTTATAGAAGGTCTACTCATATACTTCCTCTCCATAATAATTGTAACACCTGCCTCCTTTTCTCGTTTCAATGCACAACTTAAATACAGAGTAATTAATATCTTCAATTACGATTTAGTAAAAATTATCAAAAAACATTAAGAAAGTTTTTATCGAGATGAATGTAACAGGATCCCACATGACTATTTTTACAATTTTATTTAAGTATACATCACCTAAAATGGCCAAATAAAAGTATGAATAGTGTAAAATTCTAACTTTAGTTTGAAAGTCTGTCATGAAAACTAAAAAAAATACCGTCTCGTTTTTCTTATCGATTGTCCTAAAGAAGTTTTTTTTTAACTATTTGAGGAAATATTTGTGTGTGATATTGTCTCCCTTATTTTTATATCTAAATCAAAACTACACAATTGTATTTCCTTAATGATTGTGCCCAGTCAAAACAAAAAAAATTAGGACAAATGGTGTATAAACATATGTAAAAATTTCAAAAAACATTAATCATATTCCATTTTTGTTGTTGTAATACTAAACAGGAGAAAAAACTTTGCATTAACATTTCTTGTTATTTTTCTGTGATCCAAACATACACGTGGTGGTTTCCTTTGAAACCATATGAGATGTTTATTCATCTGAATGATTTTTCTTGCCTGCTAGGTGAATTTCTTTTTGTTGCGCCGGCTGTTGGGGGTGAGAACAAAAGAGTCAGAAAAGCAAGGCAAGGTAACAAAGCTGACAAAGGGAGAAATACTTATGTTGAACATAGGATCCATGTCCACCGGGGCCCGCGTCGTTGCTGTCAAGAATGTCTTTGCAAAACTTCAGCTGACATCTCCAGTGTGCACCAGCAAAGGTGAGAAAATTGCCCTTAGCCGCAGAATTGAGAAGCATTGGCGTCTTATAGGGTGGGGTCAGATTCAAGCCGGGATTACCCTCGACGTCCCCCCTGCTCCTTTCCAATGATGATGTAAGAGTCTCTCAGCCTTTTCTTACTCTGTTTCCTGGAGATATATTTTTTTTTAATCCACCAAAAAACAAAAAAGAAATTGGAATTAAACATGGGATGGGAGGATATTTTGTTCGTCGTTTCCAATTTTGAACACTTGATCACATTGTGTTTTTTCCCCATTGCATTTTTAATCAATTTTTTCCCAAAACATGGTTTGATGGAGTGTTCTGTACTTGTAATACATGAATCTGTTCTGGTCCTTTAATATATTGATTAATTCCGGTTGCGGTCCTTTAATACCCGAGTAACATTTTAGAACCATAACCAGAATAGTGAGTAAGTAGCCTTGGGCGGTTCGAGTTCTAGTTAGGGTTCCAAGTTTTGATCTTGAATTGTGCCATTAAAAATGCTGCCCCGGTTCTACTTTTTGTCTCCGGTTTCGGATGCCGAGAGCACAACGTCAAGGTGCTCACAGTTATGGTCCCTGAGAATCCTAGAATTTGTTCTTTAGATTTTTACATAGTTTTTACATGGTTGAACCATCTTATGTCCATCCATAATCACCAAGCATAGGACGGAAAGGATGGAATAAAGTCATGTATGCCACTTATTACTAAAAAGTGATAATATTGCACCCAAAAAAATGTTACCTTGATATTGAGTAGCTAACGTGGTTTCATGTTTTTCATCCTACTAAAATATTATCCCAAATTTAAATGATGTTTGACAAAAAAATATTTTTAAATCAATTTATATGAGAATTGGCGTGAAATTAAAAATTAATTTTTTTTTCAAGTTACACCGAAACTAAATGGCATACACATTATTTATAGGGTTAATCACTTTCCTCAACTATTTTAACTAGTTATTTGAGTTTGATAAAGTAATCTACTTATATCACTATTTGTTTTGTAGAATGTTTGATATACTCCATAGTATTTAAATATGTAAATTTTATTTTTTCGTTATTCTTCTTTTGTCTTATAAGTTGAATAAGAAAATTATTTCAGTAAAACTTTCTAAGTTAAAGTAGACAATATATAATGTCAAAAACTATACAAAGCAAGATTTATTTAGCACATTCTTCCTTTGCCTCCAAATTCTTGTGCATGACGTGGTTATCTCTTGTTTAATCATACTAATTATCGCTTTGTCTTTTTTCTTTCTTTCGGATGAGTAACAAAAATAGATAGAGGAAGTGGATGAAATTTGATCTTGTGAATAATAGAAAACCAATTTAATTTGAGACATGACTGTTTCATAAAGTCAATTTGGTATGAGTGTATGTTTAATTGCAGAACCAAGAAAAAAATTAATTGTCACATCATCAAACTTCATGGGGCTCTCTGTTTCAAATGGTTTATCCATTATTTAAATCATTTTACTTCTATAAAAAATATTTAATTTATAAATAACTTATAAATTAAAAATTTCTTATCAATACATACTAGTGCAGAGAAACACCTCATAGTTTGTCACTTTTTTTTAGCTTTCTTTGAATTAAGTCTGTTCCAAATTTTAATATTCTACTCCCTCCATACTTATATCTATGAAAAATAAGATAAATGAGCAAATATTGTATAAAGGCAAAGTGAAAATTTAAATATAGGAGCAAATATTGTATAATTCGAAGCCTTTGAATCAATTCATGCTTTACCAATACAAAAACAACCACAAGATTTTTCGTATTCTACATTTGCTTGTCTTTTTTTCTCTCACCAAAATAGTCATACCCGAAACACCAAAATAGTCATATACCCGAAACGAGCAGAAGTGTGACATTTTTGGAAGTTTGAGCACAACCCCGCCCATTTTCCATGGGCCAGACCATAAACTTTCTCACAGAAATTAATAAATTATAAAAAAATACATATCTATATACTACCACTAAGTATATTGCGTATTAACATAATGAAATAAAACTTTGAAAGTTCCAACAAAATAAATCTAATAAAATCATTTTTATCACAATATATATCACAAATTTTTTAATTGGAGTTTAAAATTTGTCTATAATTTGACTCGAAAAAATCAAACTTGACAAATACACTAAGACAGAGGAAGTAATAATTTATTGCTTGTGTTAGAATTAATTACTCTTGCATGTAGTATGTCCACACAAACTTAATTACCAAACATGGTTTACAGCAAAGAGGGGATGAAAGGAGAATTGAAAAAGATTGGTCCTTGTGGTCGTGATATATTTTCATTGAATAAGGAATCAAAATCACCCCTAAAATGAAGAATTACACATTACATAAAACAGAGAAACTTGAAAAAGAATGGAAAATAGAACTGAAACTGTACATAAGAATAGACAACGGAAGCGCCAGAAGAGATTGAGCCTTGCTTATATATATCTGTTGGTATATATATATATATATATATATATATATATATATATATATATATATATATATATATATATATATATATATATGGAAGCAACCACCGATAACCCCCACTGGAGTACAGTGAGGGGCGGCCGCCAGCCTACTCTATCTTCAAACAATAAAAAAAAAGAAGAGGGGGAAAAGAAAAACCTAAGCAACTACACACCTTAAACGACAAATCCTCATGCTGCTGCTGCTGCTGCTGCTGTATTGACTGCAAAATTTTCATCTATCCCAAGCTGCCTGGAAAATGGCGGGTCGGTTCTTCAACCAGATAGCCATTTCCCTATCTACAGAGGTGGCCTTGTGCAACACAACGTCTAGCATTGGGCTGCCCACGATTTTAGGGCTGCCCTTGAATGACCATATCTGATCCTTTGGCCATGGTCTCTGGGGATGCTTCTCCTGCACACATTCATATATAATGCAAAAATAGGGGGGGGGGGGTCATATTTGTATCAGTTTCACCGTCATCATAAACACATCAGGCCCTGTTTGGTTTGCGCAGGTAACGCCGTAAGGGTAGCAGTTATGGTGGGAAGGAAAATCTCATACCCATAGGCTTGAGACTATCAAACCAAACAGGCCCTTAGGAGGGAGAATTGAATGAATACTACTGCTCTTACCATTCTGGATAGCATAAACTTGACTGTCCTGGGGCCATAAACACGCTGGCGTGAAGGCTTCTGGGCTTTGGCATAGAAAGAGTCGATTTCTGGTAGAGACAAGCAACCCCGGCTTGCCCTGGCCAGGCTATTGTCTGGCTCCGCATTTGCTTGATTGTGCCAATAAATTAGTTGTCCTAAACAGTAATTCTCACCATACGTCTTCCTATATTCATGCACACCTGGCCCTAGCTTATCAGCATACTTGGGTCCAAGGTCAAGAGGACTGATATATACAGGTGGGGAGGTTACAGTCTTGTATTCCTGAAGTACACAAGATCAACAACACATTGGGCTTTTGTCCTTGAGAGGAGAAACAGAATTCCAAGTCAACAATTTGAATTTTCAAAAATAAAAATAAAAAACGAAAACTCACTCTTATTCTAAAGAAGCACTTTGTGTAAGCATATATATGGATCAAATCGGCAGCAGCATCATTCCGACATTTGTATGTACATGGTAAGTCCCGGACCTCATCCCTCAACCTGAGATGATAATAATAAGAATATGAGTAATTCACCCAACTAATTCTTCCATTTGATGGGGAAAGACGTAAAGAGAAAAAAGAGAGAATATGAGTGGATTTTTTGCGTGTATGGATGAAAAGTAGGGGTGCGAGAATTAAAAGAAAAAGTTGAGTTTTCTCTTCATTTGTTTGGTTATCCTGGCAGATTGTAAAGCAAAGAGAAAGAAAATAAATTTATTATAAGGACATATCTGCCCTTTATGTTGGTTGACAAAAATATCTAAAGGTTAACATTGTAAATGAAAGTGGGTCTCAAATTGAGAGATTTTTGTGGGAAAACTTCCTTTTTCACCCTTTTCCAAACAAAATAAAATTTCTTTTTATCTCCTTTTTTCTTCCAAAAATCACCACAAAGGGTAAGTTCTCGCCCAAGAATATATTACAAATTACCAGAGTAAAGATCTCTTAAGCTCCCTGCCAACGTCACCAGACCGAGAAGGATCTCGAGCACGAATTTTGGACTTGAGTTCACTGATCACACTGTCTTCCATATGAGTAGACAAGCATTGAAGAAGCTCCTCTACGAGTGACCCCTCTCCTCTCCAAATGAAAGAGGCCGCTGCCTCAGGACTAAGCCTCTCCAATGGAGGAGGCGCCTCTTTTGGATCACCAAACACGCATCTCATGACATACCTTACCTGCAACCAAACTCCACAACGTTTCATTAAGAAAAAATAACTAAATACTTTGGCATCCAAAAATAAAGTCATGTTTTAACAAGGCACCACCTTAAAGTTTTAGTAAGGTCCTACAACTACAGGTCAATTTCAGCAGTATTTATTCAATGTATTTGTTGTCCTAATAAAAAACTATGCTCAACTTCCTGAGGCACTTAATGGAAAACAAACAACATAAAAAATTAGCTTGTGATGTTCTAGTAGTACTACTTTTTGGGACAGATGTAAGTGCTCAAATAAGATCCTCTTTCTTTGGACCATGGATGTATCATTCTTCCATTTTACGCTATAAAAGTGCCTTAAAAAGTTGATTGTGAATATCAATCTGCAGATACCTTATCAAGAGTAAGGGCAAGGTTCTGAAGCCTTTGATTGTAAACACCTTCAGCCTGTAGAGAATTAAATAAACACAACATATTAGTGTCTAAAATGAGATTGCAGGAATTCGAGCTGGGACAAGAAACTGTGAGCAAGTAGCAGAGATGTCCACCTGGATCTCAGCATCATTCTTTTCCACTTCAATGCAAACATCAGAGAAGTACTTCTTCTTCTCTTCCAAATTATTCCTAAGAATCTCATCGGGAAGTTTTATCCTCTCGAGATTGATGAATCTCACCTTTTAACAAGAAACAATAAAACCATCAACATTCATAACACTTTCAGCATATGGCTATCTGTCTATGAGAGATAAACATAGAGGAGACATACCACACGAGCTGAATATGCAATCAACCACTCTGGCAACCCAGCAAGCAAACAACTCCCAAGCCCAGCTTTGCCCAGGTCAATATAGTCATCTTCACAAACTGAATTTAGTTCACAGGCCTCCAACAACAGCCCGTGTCTATCTAGTATTCCATGATATTGTTCCATGACCTGCACAATAAACCATCCTGATTAAAATTGCTAACGAGACAATAAACAACGAATTAATAATGCCCTTGACACAAAAAAAAAGAGAAAGACTGCATCATTTCCCCCACCCCACCCCAAGTCATGTATCTAAGGTGGTTTTGAAAGTCAACTTTCATTTTTAAGTTAACTT